CACCAAGGAGCTGTTGGAAGTTATTTTTTAAAATTATTTGCTTTTTTGAGATAAAGAAAATTTAGTGAAAATATATTGTAAACTTATCTTTAGAAGTGATTTATTCTTGTTTCTCTAGTTTTAATTTTTTTTGTTCACGAGTTACCGATTTTTTTGAAATATAATTGGAATTATTCTTTTTTTTAAACTTATCTGTATGTTAATAGTGTACGATAACTTCAATATTTTATATAACATTGACAATTCTTAAAAATAATTGTCAAACACTGAAATACTCAACAAGCTGTCAAATAGCTCTCTGAGTTGTCTATTTCTTGGAATTATGATTTGATATTTAAACTGTCAAGTATAAATGCTGATTAACTGGATTCTGACGAGGCAGTTTGATTTATAAAAGAGACTTAATAACTATTTGACTGGTTCAAAAGATGATGGTTTATGTTGAGTTGTCTGATAAGATCTTGTCTACCAATTTTGGCCAGGGTCAAATTCATGAGGGGAAAAAAAATAGGAAACGAGCAATTACCTCTTAATTTATATGCAAGTTATGATGTAAATATCGCTCCACCCCCAGTTTTTTGACAGTCTCGGGTGGCAACATCTTGAGACCGAAGATTACTTTTATGATATTTTTTCCTCGACATCTTAACCATTGTACCTTGAATCTTACAATCAATGAGTATGCTGCTGGAAAAGAGCAATAATTTAAATCTCTAGGAACTTAAAAGCCATGAAACAACAGCTACCTTTTCTTTCATATTGATTTTTGAGGGCCTTATCTTACCATGTGATGACCAGGTATCTTTATGTTCGATGGGGCACGGAGCTGTCGAAAATGGTTGTGTTTGTCGGAGAGAGTGGGGACACAGATTATGAAGGGTTGCTTGGTGGACTCCATAGAAGTGTGGTTCTGAAGGGCGTTTGTAGCGGCGCTGTCAACCAGCTCCATTCCAACAGAAGCTACCCTCTTTCAGACGTTGTTCCAGTTGATTCTCCAACAATTGCACACGCTTCTGAAGAGGCCACCAGTGCTGAAATTAGAACTTCCTTGGGGACCCTTGGACTTCTCAAGGGCTAGAAAGAATTCTTTCAAATGGTTTCAACTAAGATCTTCCTGGTACGTTTTTTCTCATTGTCTTCTTGACATGTTGGCCAATGGCCATTACCAAAAATGAAAAAGTGGGGAAAAAAAAAGGAGAATAAGAAGAAAAGAAATTGGTGAAATAACACTTGGCCACCTTTTTTTTGGATTAAAAGAAAAACAAAGCTGAATCTCAGTTGTGTGCAGGTTTTGTGTATTTTTGTCATTTGTGTCTTCTAGCTTACTCTGTTTTCATGGTAGCTGGCCAATGCCCCAGAGAATATTCGCAACTTGATACTGTAAAAATGAATGAAACTCTCTTTACTGGGTAAATTTATGGTACGTTCCTTCATAGATGTAGACTTTTTGGTGTCATTTTCGTTTATTTTCAATGAATAATGTTCAATCTATGAAATAAATAACAAAAATATTGGGTTAACCGTATCATTGAAAGATTGACAATTCATTATTTTTTTAATTTTTCGAAAAGGGTTTTTATTTTTACATCTATAACTAAATACTCAAACATTTAATGGTGGCAAGGACAAGATTGGTCTTTACGGGAAAACAAATATTAATGGTAGGAGTAGGTGTTTAAGAGAGTATTAAAATTTTAGCTAAGATAAAATAAAAAATCCTCCTTTTAACTTTGTCATTTGTTTAAAAAATATTGATGTTCTTTTCAAAGTTTCAAGACTATCTTCAAACTTCTCATAAAAGTTTCAAAAACACCTTTTGAGTAAAATTGACATGATAGAATTTGGAACAAAAAGGTCAAATTTGTTATAGTTTATTATTTTATCGGATTTTTTCAAATTATACCAGGTTAACTTTCCATTCAAAATATCAATAGACGATTATTGAGAGTATTTTTTAAACCTTTATAAAAGGTAAAGGTTAAGTGTAGTATTAAAACTTTTGAAATAATCGATTTATTTTTCACCTACTCTACTTGAATTTAAATTTGTCCTTTCTAGATTTCTCTTTCTTTCTCAATCATCCAATCCCCTCCCCCTCTCTTTTGGGATGAACTTACTTGCTGAGATGACACTCAAATTTTGAAGCAAAAAGTAAATAAAGTGCAGTTTTGATCCATTTGACTGTTCTCATCTTTTTAGGCTAAAAAATACGAAAATATTGAGGTTAGGTTTTGAAGTGTCTTGAGGATAAAACAGACATTAAAATAATCCTATAATTAATTGGCCTCTTATGGTCGGCCACCTGTCCTCCTCCTTCGAGTCAATGATCAAATAGATGGGAGTTGGGAGTCTGCCATATTTGTCTTTCCTAAACGCTACCAAACAAAAATAGTTGGGAAAATCTCTTGAGTTTCAAATTTGAATAACCTGAATATTTTCCTTTTCAGTGTTCAACTACCCTATCATACAAATTGAATTCTCTTGAATTCCATTGCCTTCTGTTCATTTTCCCTTCAATAAATTTTACAAAAATGTATATTACAGTATTATCCTCAAACTTTCAAAATTTTCATTTTTACCTTTGAATTTTGAACGGATTCTAAATTTACTCTTACTTCAACTTTTACGATGATTTGTAAAATAGTAAGTACATGTGGTAATATAGGTGGCAAGTTTCAATTATACTCTTTGCTTTTATCGTTTCAAAAGTTTCATTCTGATCTTTTAACCTTTAAAATTATTTTTAAAACAACTTCATTAAATTCTCCATTAAGATGAAGGCAAAACTAATATGTGACGATTATTTGGAAAAATAAAGGTTAAGGGATTTTAATCACATTGCCAAACCGAGTATAGCTCAGCGATAATTGACATATATCTATGATCAAGAGATCATGAGTTCGAAACCTCATCCCCACATATTATGAAACTAGTTGACGAAATGGTAGGTTTGTGAAACTAGTTTAAATTTTAAGGGATAAAAATGAAAGTTTTGAAAGTTTTAGAGATATTTTTGGAACATGCCTTAAAATTCAAGGGCATTTATTTAACCTAAATCGTATTAGCAAGGGCCTTGATTTTGTTTTTTCAAAAAACCAAGGCAAGAGGAGAAATTACAATAGTTTTGATGATCACGATTTAGTTATTAAGAAACTCTAAGATTTTAGTATTTTAGACGGAGTGCCTACCATAAGTTTTGAATTCATTCGTTTTTACTCTTTTCACTTACTTCAATGATATTTAGGTCAATTCACAGTTGTCCGCCAGTTCATATATGTAATTTTGATTTTATATATATATATATTTTAGTATAACATATGAAGGTATGCGATCGAATTTACAACCTCTTTGTTGGAGACATATGTCAATTACCATTGAATTATTTGACTTGGTTTGATAAAATTTGTGCGAAGGAAAACATATTTCATCTTCAATGTTCGAAGTTGCAGGCTTGGTGTTATAAATAATGCAATTAACTCATATGTACTATATGTATATACATTTTTTTAAAAAAAACATGCACAAGAAAACTCACATGTACTAGTATAAAATGATTGAAAATTTTGTCATTTGGAGTCCACACACTTTTGTCATATTATTATTAATGAAAAAACCGACATACCATATTAAAAAGTAAAGCAAAATTGATTAAAATATTTACAAATATTTAACATTGAGAAATATATATATATACACACACATATATACATATATCGGATGGGCAGAGAGAGTAAGAAACAGAACGTTTACAATTGTATTGTTTGTTTAATTAATCTTTTTCCCTTGTGATTACAAACAAAAATTGGTTCTAAAARACTAAGGTTCTATTTCCATGACCTCTTCTTTCAGTTACATTTAAAAATGATTTTTGTTTATCAACAATAATCTTCRCTGTTATCTTTTCATGTTAATCAATACTYTAGAGTAAGTCATAGTATTAAATATCCGTCGACATGTATATATATCTTTGGATTCAATATCGACATGAGGGATAAATTGRCATTAAATTGATAAAATATAAAAAATATCAATTAATATTAATCATTTTTAACTTATTTATAAATAGTTAAACAATTATTTGTTAATTTAACTATTTTTATAACTTCTCCGACATTTTCATAGACATCAACATTTAATTTTATTGRAACATATATTGAGTTAATTGTAATAATTTACTTTTTAGATAATTAATTGCAATAATTGCATTGTTACGACTTACGAGGGTCAGTGACCAAACTAAAGTTGCTATGTGCGATAGCTAGGTGGCCCAATATTTGCAGCAGCCAACTCCCCTCTTCCCAATACCAAAAATAATTACTACAGCAATAATGAAATTAAATCAAATCAAAAGAATTTAAATAATCTTCTCGTACATGTACTTTTTTATCTCTATATTTTTAAAATGTCAATTTGGGTAGATCTGGRCGATCCATGGACCACCTTGTTCTCTCCCAAATCCAGMTATCCTCTCTTTCGACCAAAACAAGGCAGTAGAGCATTGATTCATTAGTCCAAAATTCTTATTTGAAGGTGATTTAAGTACTTTTCAACATTTAATCTCTATATTTTCGAACACTCATTTTCATCTATATAGTTTTGGTTCTTTCATTTTCAATTTYTATGTCKATTAAAATTTTAGCATGATACTTCATTTGCTAAATTTTRTTAAAGTGATTCTTATCATATATTAAAATTTTAGAAATAGGAACAGAAATAATATTCAAACCCATAAAAAAATTATATATATATATATATATATATATATATATTAAGAGATTAATTAAAGTTAGCTGCACCTGCATGGAGAGAGAGAGAGATTAAATGAAGTAGTTGGTGTAGTTGTGTATCACACAAACCGCATTAAATAACGCATGTAGAAAGCAAGATACAGAGAGGAAATTTTTCAATATTTATTCTTAAAAGAAAACTTTTTTAAAAAAACAATTAATAATATAATGCTTTAAGAAAAATAAATAAGAAGGCTACAAGTAAAGTAAAATCTTCTCCTATATATAAAGTTGTGTGGTGTGTCGTGACCATCGAAATCGCATGGGAGGAGCTTCGAACTTCTGCGCAAGAGGATCTGTTCGGAGGAAATCAAAAATGGCGGAAAAACAACACAACCGCAAGCCGGAAGAAGGAGAGAACCAAAATCGCGACGGCCGGAGCAGAAGCGATTCTTCTTATCGATTGGTTTCTTTCAAGGAGTTGCCTGAGTACATGAAAGACAACGAGTTCATTCTCGATTATTACAGAGCCAATTGGCCTCTCAAGCGAGCTCTTCTCAGCGTCTTCCAATGGCACAACGAAACCCTAAATGTCTGGACGTAAGGGCTTCTAACTCGTTGATTAAACTTCGTTTTTTCTTCTCAATTTCAATTTGGTGTTGTTCTGGTTTTTAACTTTGCGGAATTTGATTTTGATTTTCAGGCATTTGATCGGATTTGTTCTGTTCTTGGGATTGTGTATGGCGAATCTTATGGAAGTGCCTCGAGTGGCGGATCTGTTCGGGTTCTTTTCCAGGTTCAGTACTTGAAACTTTCTTCTACCGTTCATATTTAGAAAACGCGATTTTAGTTTTGCAAAAAACGGATTGAACTGTTTCCTCTTTCGATTTCTTCATTCTAACTTTTACCTTTTTCTTTTGGTTTTCGTAATTCGCTGATAATTAGTTTGATCAGTGGTAGTAATTAATTAATTCTGATGAAACAGAATGAACTATCCATTTTGATTCGCATTGTAGTTTGTCACACCCAAGCCAAAACCCAACTGCAAAGTAAAATTAGTTTAAATTGAAAGTTCTTATTACCTTCTGATTTTTGTCTAATTTTTTGCATAAAAATAATGTATTTGATTTATATTGCATTGAATAAAATCTGAAGTAGTTAACTCACAAAATTGTTACATCTACGTCTTAATTAAGAAATGAAAATAGGTTTTTATGCGAACTTTGAATACTGAAAAATAAAATCCAAAATTATAAATAAACAAGAAATTTGAACTCTTTCTTTTTCTTGCACTTTTTTTTTTAAGCAAAATACACCAGAAATTGAAATATTTGTTTTTCTTGCATTTCTAGAAAACAGTTTTGCCCTTTTAACCGATTTCTTTGTTCTTGACCAACGGAATTTTTACATAGAAACCTCATTAGTGCCAAATATCACGCAATTTATTTCATCGTTTGAAAAATTTAAAATCAAAAAAGCTTATAAATTTTCATTAAATTAGGCCTCTGTCTTTAATCTAATGAAATGAATCACCTATATTTCTGCAGGTCTATGCTCACATCTCTCTATACAAACATTTCCTATGCTTCCAGAGATTTTATTGGAGTAAGTTTTTTATAATCTTTCCATTGAATAAAATAAAAAGGAGAAAGTTTAGTCATCTCATAACTCTTCTTTATATATTAATTTACAGAAATAATAATATGGCAAATTCAATACTACAATTACATAAATGGCAGGAGTATTCAACAATACATTCGACCCTATTCATCGAATAAGTTTCAATAATTATTGGATTTCTTTTTAACTAATGTAAAGAATAATCCAAGTAGTTCGGGTAGACAATTGAAATATGAAGGTTAGGATACCAGTTTCCTCAGTGTACTTGCATCTTTGGTTAGTCCATGTACTTTCAAAATATTCATTTTAGTTCATGTATTTTTAAGAATCGATCATTTTAGTCTCTTAATTTTATTCTTAATCTCATTTCTTCTATCATAATTTCAATATGACACTACAATCAATATATTTCTTAAAATGTAAACATTATTTTACACTATAGAGTTTCCGTTAGGTGTAAAATTTGTGTTAAAATTTTGTAAAGTGGAACTAAAATGAACCGTTTTTAAAGGTGAATGATCAAAAGAAACATTTTCAAAGTATAATGACTAAAATAAATCAAGGCTATTGCATTTTTACTCCTAATATGAAAATATTCCACCTAAATACTGTTAAAGTGAGTGATTTGTAAACGATATTATTGGTTCCTTTCCTTCTCATCATATCAAATGAGTACAACTTTATACATAAAATTAATACTCTCGAGCAAGCCAGAGGAATAACAAGATACCAAAGTCGATGATCAAATTGTTACATTCTAAAAACTTTGAAACACAAATGTTTATTTTACTAAGGTGGAAAGTAATCTACACCCATATTTGTTATGTGTTATTAAATTTTAAAAAATGGTTAAAGACTTTATTCAATCTTTTGTTGAACCAAAAAACATATTTTTTTACAAAATATTAATAAATGTGTGGTGGCGTATGCAGAGCACGGCACCAGAACTGATTGAATTAGCCGGAGGCGTCCGTACATTCGAAGGCGGCGGCGGCGGCAAAATTAGTTTATTAGCGGAGGAATTGAGCACAGAGCGGTGGCCGTTCTTCGTGTTCTTGAGCGGCTCAATGTTCTGCCTTCTCTCCAGCAGCATGTGCCACCTCTTTTCTTGCCACTCTCATCCTCTAAATCTCCTTCTGCTCAGAATTGATTACATCGGTATCACCGTCATGATCAT